TTCAAAATCCATCCAAACATTTAGTTTAAATTCCAGAAAATTAAGTATAAATTAGCATGAAATATAAGCATACATAATCCCAAGACAATTCAACAAAATAATTATGTTTATGCTCCCAGGCAACCACACTAAACGAGCTTCTAGGTGCTGAACGACAAACTAATTGACTTGACCATGTTAAGCGTGCAACCTCGCGCTAAGCGCGCTCTGCAATTTCTAGAGAAAATCATGGTAACAGTACAGTCCCAATGCGATTTTCTTCACCTAAAATATGTTTTCAAAATTTGTCACGATTTAAGCTACTAAAACATACATACAACATATAGTTTCAAACCAAAACATCATAACACAATCACAAACCAATTCCATAGATTCCCAATCAAAACGTAAGTAAATCAAAACATGGTAAATAATGAAATTGATCCTAAAACATGTTACTATCCATCATGCATCATCAACAATCCCAATAGTCAAATGAAAACCCACTCTTACCTTATTCAAGGTAGATTCTTCTAACTTTTGCGTTCTTGACCTTTTCCTCTTTCTCACTCTTCTTTTCTTCTCTCGTGAAAACCTTTTCTCTTCTCTTTTGTCAATCCTCTTACTAACTCTAATTATTTTCTTTTTATTAAATCCTTACAAAATAACTATAGTGACCACTAACATGCTTACTAATACACATCCCGACATTACTCTTCCCTTCTTACCCAATAGACTCATTTACCTTATTTATATTATTTCTATATAATTATCACTAATAAAATAATTATTTACTAACTGACACCAAAACTAACTATAATTATATGGCTCACTTATTCAATCCGGCCAACTCGCTACACACAACACATATCGAATAATTAAAATAAATCAATCATCCATAAATTCACACAATTAATTAATTAATATAGTATATATAAATAATTACTAAAACTGGGGTGTTACAACACTCCCCTACTTAAAAGGTTTTCGCCCTAGAAAATTACCCCAAATGAATAGATCAAGATATGACTCCTTCATCTGACTCTTAAGCTCCTAAGTCACATTTCCACCTGCTGGTCCTCCCTAAACTACCTTCACTAAGGCAATCTCTTTACCTCTAAGTTGATTTAACTCTTGATCCTCTATTCACATAGGTGATGTCTCCACAGCCAAGTTATCTCTCACTTGCACATCATCTACTTGAAGCACATGAGACGAATCTGTAATGTATTTTCTCAATTGAGATACATGGAACACATCATGGATATTAGCAAGCAACGATGGCAAAGTAATCTGATAGGCCACATATCCTATCTTCTCTGAAATCTGGTATGGATCAATAAAATACAACGTCAACTTACACGACTTTAATGCTCGACCAACACCAATTACCGGAGTAAATCTCAAAAACACATGATCATCCTTTTGGAACTCAAGTGCTTTCCTCCTCTTGTCATGATAATGAAGGTGTGAAAAACACAAGAAATAGGGTGTTTGAATTTGGTTTAAAATCAATAAATTTTCTTTGAAAATATCCCCTTTAACTGAAAAAAAATTTCTTCACTTATTGATAATAAATATATGATGCAGGAAGTAAAGAACAAGGTGTATTTATACTAGTTCACTTGAAAACTATCAAGCTAGTCTAGTCCATCCGCCAAGGTGATTTCACCTTTCTCAACAAGGTCTTAATCCAATAATCAAACATATTATTACAATGCACAAGCTAACTGCAAGTGACTAACGTTGCAACCTCTAAGACACACTAATCTTAGACTTCTTAAGGATTCAGACAATTTGGTCCCTTAAGGCACAATCAAACAATTGTTTGAACAAAGTTTGTTTACAAAAGATAGGCTTCTAAACAAGAAGATTAATAAACAATATTTCAAGAATCTAGACTTATGAAATAGGAAACTTATGAACAGTCTTGTAAGAACGTGAATTAACAGCCTTCTCTTTAAGTCTTCAAGCCTTTATATAGTCAATAAAATATTGTAATCGTTGGAGGATATTTCTGGAACTTAGAAAATTGGCAGCTTGAAACATAGTGGGGGACAAGTTCGTACAACGCGTTCGTTCTTCATGGTAGTGGAATAAAATCTTTGTTTGTACCATGTACTATGTGTAGCATTATCTTTTGGACTTCAGAGGATTTTATCTAATTATGAATTAGAAGAAGGAAAATAAATCTTGGCTCATCATAACTTCAAGTCTTCAGATTATTCAGAACTTCGTCTTCAGAATCTTGAGCACTTGGTCTTGAGAACCCTTTGTCTTTAGAAACATAAGTCTTCAGCATCTGGACTTCAGTCTGAACTTCTGTCTTCAGATCTTTAGAACTTGGTTTCTTGGACGAGTATCAGAGTCACAACATCAGAACCTCCTGAAGCGTTTTGCTACTGTTCATAAGAACTTGTGTAGCTCAGAAGCGGAACTTGATATCTTATAATGTCTTGACAACGCCTTTCATCAGAAGAAGAACTTGTTTGTTAAATACTCAAAAATAACAAACAGGAACTAAAATTACATGCATAATAATTTTGTAGGGACTAAAACTTACTATTATTTTAATAAGAACTAAAAATAAAATTTAAAATATTTATAGAGACCAAAAATATATTTAACCCTTAAAAATAAAACCTTTTTCATCAACGATTTAAAAAATACTTATAAATGATAAAACAAACTAGAGATTGAAGTAAAATCTTAGATGTACTTCTATTTTAGAAAAATGACACCCATAGTACACCTATAAAAAAATTGAAAAAAGAGTCCAAAATGAATTAATGACAAACCAAAAAACATGATCAAAACCATGAGAAAAAAAAAAAAAAAGAATCAATGAACTTGACTATGTACTTGATTTGATTTGCAATGCTATCTGTTGAAGAATTAATGAGAGGTAAAGATGAAATTAGGAAGTTGGAAAGAAATGCTACAAGAAAAATAGTTGTAGAATATAGAAAGAAAAGGCTTGTTATACAAGTAATAGTAATGTGGTGAAAATGGTCAACAAGAAGAATAAATGTGGCAGATGCATTGGTCATCGTGACGAAACATAGACGCAACAATGGGAACGCTATACAGACAGACAAGAGGTAGCAAAGTTTCCGCGTAGACAGATCAGAATAACATGAGAAACCACTGTGAACTGAAGACTGTATTCAGTGTGATAACAAAAATAAAAAACAAAACATAACACGATACAATTAAATAAGGGAATGGGATTTTGTAATAATAAAATAATAATTTTGAGAGAATTTATTTTTAAAAAGAGTATCATCCTCTTGTCGGGTTTGAATTTGAAATAAACAATTTTATAAAACTACATGGAGGTAATCATTGTTGACACCTTATAAACATGATTTCCATCATATTTTTCCAACCTAAGACTCTTAACATAGGATAAGGGTCAAATCGTTATTAAACGCTGGAGTAATTTTTCTTTAAAAATCTCTTTATCATCATTCCACATATAAAAAATCAAACTCCTTTTCAACTCAATTATAAAATAAATTATTACATATTAAAGTAAATAACTAAACACATTTCATTTTTTTAGTTGTCATAATTTTTTTATTAAAATATATTTTGAGATTCTAAAAATTAAAAAAAAAAGTATAAAAATAATTTGAAAGTCATCAATAGACATCAAAATTATTAGGAGAATTCGACGGAAGTGATCGGTGGAGATGGGAGAAAGCAGTTAAAAATCGACTGAAAGAAGCATTGACATCAAAATCAGAGTGACGACGGTTAGTGACTGACGCGGGACAATGCTATAGTCGCACGACGGTGGTCTGTCGACCACATATAATATAAGTTAGTTACCAAGCTTCGGGCGGCCGTTAGCCGGTGGCCAAAGCTCTGGCGGTTGCGGGAGCAGACGACACATGAGTTTTTTTAATTTGTATATTTTGGACTTCTTCGTTTTGTTACGAGGCTCAACTCTTTAATAGATTATGGTTCGAACTTTGTAATGTATCTATTGAATTTAAGTCGTTATAAATATATCTCTTGTATTTTTGTATTCACAACTTTCATAATTTTAAGTCAACTTAGAGAGACAAGAATTGAAATTTTTTAAAATTTTTAAAATTTGAAAAATCTTTTAAAAATATCTAAAAGGTATTAAAAAATATTTTTTTATGTGATTTATATATTAAGAATTAAAAAAATTGAAAAACACGTGAGTAAAAATAAGATTTTGTTTATGAAAATTCAAAGTTTTTTCTTATAATTTATTTGTAATATCTTAAAACAACTTTTAAAAATATCTCAAATCAAATAACTATTCATTTTTTCAGAATAGATCGTTTGAGAGAATGGATAAACAAAATATCATATTTTTGTTTTGCTTTCACTTTTATTACATTATTTAATTATTTTATATAATTAATTTTGATTATTATTATTCTATATCTCTTTACATTACATTTTTTGATGTGTTTAAACTAAAAATAATTTATTTAAATTGTTATTCAATAATTTTTCCAGAACAAAAATTATTTCTATTTTCTAAACTATACTTACTTTTCATTAAGTTTTGTTAGTTTTGTTTTGAACCTTATTTCATTGAATAATATTTTAAGAATTATAGCAATATAATTCAATATGATGCACTTAATTAAGTTTTGTTTTACACTTTAGTCACTATTTTTCTTCATCTTTGAATTTGAATGAATATTATATATTATTCATTCTTAAAAAAATCTAAAGAGAATAACCGTACTACATATCTAGAAACTATAGATACAAAAGAAAAGAGTGTCCTTCCTAGCAAAGCAAATCTCTCTTTTTCCTTCTCACATCTCACAAGACATTCACATCATGTGTTCACACCACTCACATATAAATTCTTTCTTTTACTTTTCTCTTTCATATCCATCAAAAGAACAACAAACCCATCTTCATTTTTCCTTGTAATCAGAGATAAGTCACCTTTCTTTTTCTTTCTTTCTTCCTATAACTCTCAAACTTTAGCAGCAACAACACTTTCTTTTTCTCATTCAATTTCAATGGAAGGACATCAATTCCATCACAAAAACCAAAGACAACAACAACAACATCAACAAAATCTTCATCTTCTTCATCAGAATATCAATAACACTGTTAACGTTTTTGATGTTTCTGATAGATTTCCTCAATGGAGCATCCAAGAAACCAAAGAGTTTCTTATCATAAGAGCGGAGCTAGATCAAACTTTCATGGAGACTAAAAGGAACAAACAGTTGTGGGAAGTTATTTCTAACCATATGAAGGAAAAAGGTTACCATAGAAGTGCAGAACAGTGCAAGTGCAAGTGGAAAAACCTAGTTACTCGCTACAAGGTACGCTTCTATGTAGCACGGATACCTCTGAAAAACCTGTCTCAGTGTTGGTGTCTTGTCTGTGTCCGTGCTTCGTATATATTTTATTAATCATTTTAAATAGATCTTGGTTTTAAATCGTGATTGCGGTTGCAGGGATGCGAGACAATGGAGACAGAAATGCTGAAACATCAATTTCCATTTTACAATGAACTTCAAGCAATTTTCACAGCAAGAATGCAGAGAATGCTATGGGCTGAAGCCGAAGACGGATCAAAGAAAAACAAGGCAACGAATCTTTCAACCGACGACGAGGAAGACGATGGTAAAGAAGAAAGTGAAGAAATATCTCAAAAGGGTAGAACTAGAAGCAAAAAGAAGAAAAAAGCTAAGATAGTTAGCGAAAGCGGTAACGGCAGCAACAGCGGTTTCCACCAGAATTTGAAGGAGATTTTGGATGAGTTCATGAGGCAACAACTTCAAGTTGAAGCACAATGGATGGAAGCATTTGAAGCAAGAGAGAATGAAAGGAGGTTGAGGGAGATGGAATGGAGACAACAAATGGAAATGTTGGAGAATGAGAGATTGTTGATGGAACAAAGATGGAGAGAAAGGGATGAACAAAGGAGGATTAGAGAAGAAGCTAGGGCTGAGAAGAGGGATGCATTAATCATAGCTTTGTTAAATAAGTTAGAAAGAGAATAGAGAGTTAGAGTTAAGATTTTGAGTTATCAAGATTTAAGTTTTGTATCTTTGAAGTATAGCTAATGTTTTATTGCATGTAAAAGGTTAGAGGTAGATTTTGTTGTTTGCATTTTATAGTTTAAAAATCTTTGATATGTATAGTTTATTCATATATGGTAGTAATCAAAATCTAACATTTTTATCAATGTTTTAAAAACGGAAAGCTAAGGGTGGTGATTAATCAAAGTTCAACTTACTAGCAAAATTTCCCCATATTTTCATATTTGTGGAAAACCAAAATAATACATAAGTACTTTAAAATTATAAAGTAAAATATATAAAAGGTTTAGTACTTTATTTTTCTCTCACAAAACTCAAAATTCAATTACTCATAAAGAAATATTTTTTATAAAAAGAAAAATAAATGTTGAGTTTTTTTCTTTCTTACTCCATGTATTTTGTCTTTGAATTTTTCAATATCTTTCTTATTTCTATTTCTTTTTATTTATCCTTCTTTTCCTCTTTTATTTTGACCAATAATCTCACATTTGAAGACTTATTTTAATTGGTATTCACACCTCGATCAGACATCGTGTTTAAATTTCTTATTCTAACATGCAATCAAATGTTGTGCACAATTTTAGTTTGTCAATTGTCACCACCTTTGTTAACATGTCTAGTGGATTCTTACTTCCTTAAATCTTGCTTAATGATAACGTCTCATCTTCAAATTGAAATCTAATGAAGTGATAACGAAGACCAATGTATTTTATTTTTGAATTTAATGTTGAATTTTTTTGTCAAATGTATCACAATCTAACTATCTCAATACAAAATATTTATCCCCTTTGTAAAATCCAACAATATTAACAAACCTTGAAATCATATCAATTCTTTGTTGGCTTATGTTACTGCTACATACTCAATCTCTTTTATAGGTAAAACAACAATCTTTTGTATTTGTGATATCTAATTAACTACTCTTGTATCAATAACTAATATATAGTTAGTTGTACTTCTTCGATGATCAATGTTGCCAACAAAGTCTGCATCAATATAGCCTTATACTTTTATTTCTCCCTTTTCAAAGTACACACATTTCTTAGTGGTTCCTCCACTACAACAAATAATACATTTCATGACGAAGTTTTTATGTCCAACACGCTAAAAAACGAGAGAATATGTTCTGGGAGTGCAATGTTTGATTTTATTAATAAGATAATAAACATGTTACGTTGGTGATATAAAAAATTGAGGTAACACAACTATAAGTTAGCGCTTTTTTTAATCCATAAAATAATAATAAACTCGTTATCTCCTTTTTGTTTTAGAACCGAGATAATATAACTATAAGGAACCTCACTTCGAATCATATTTACCGTATTTTTAACTGTTTTCATCGACTTAACACAAAAATTGGATTAAACAAGAATGCAATAATAGTAAAATTTAAATATTTCATTGATAGGAACTACAACATCACCAAAGCAACTACAACAACATAAACAAATAAAACTACTCAACAAATTCAAACTTCTCAGTCCACTCAACTACAACATCACCCCTAACCATCCCTAACTTATTGAAAAATTCAGAAAGAACTCTTCCATAAGGTATGAGGAAAGTCTTTTCCTCACGAGAAGTCTCTATCATTTTCTTCAAGAAGTTGAAAATGGTAAGAGAAAGATTAACTCTCATGTTGTACGTGAGAAATAACAAGAGATGTTTGTCATCCCAAGTAAGCACTTCCATCTCTTTCTCTCTTGGGTGGAGATTTGACACTAGAAATTGAAACCAAAATTTTAGAATAGAGCATAGAGAAGCAGGACTAGAGAGATTAGTATCTTTGGCATAAAGTAGGTAAACGTTTTTTGCATAGACATGGTCTGATTCATAATGTTCAACACAACTACCAAACTCTTCACAGTTGATTGTCAAAACAATCAGTGATGGAGTAATGAAAAAATGATCGTTGTTGACATAGGACTGAATGATTTCTTTATCACCAGCTGACACAACAGACACATTCATCCAGAACTCTTTAACAAGGTTAGTGTGTGTGGAGCGACGTAGAATGTTAAAGTAACCACTAAACTTTTGTTTGTTAACAACTTCCCTCAACCTTTTTTCTAATCCTTCGAAATCGTTGAAGTTAACATACTTTTCTTTGATAACAACAACATAAACAAATAAAACTACTCAACAAATTCAAACTTCTCAGTCCACTCAACTACAACATCACCCCTAACCATCCCTAACTTATTGAAAAATTCAGAAAGAACTCTTCCATAAGGTATGAGGAAAGTCTTTTCCTCACGAGAAGTCTCTATCATTTTCTTCAAGAAGTTGAAAATGGTAAGAGAAAGATTAACTCTCATGTTGTACGTGAGAAATAACAAGAGATGCTTGTCATCCCAAGTAAGCACTTCCATCTCTTTCTCTCTTGGGTGGAGATTTGACACTAGAAGTTGAAACCAAAATTTTAGAATAGAGCATAGAGAAGCAGGACTAGAGAGATTAGTATCTTTGGCATAAAGTAGGTAAACGTTTTTTGCATAGACATGGTCTGATTCATAATGTTCAACACAACTACCAAACTCTTCACAGTTGATTGTCAAAACAATCAGTGATGGAGTAATGAAAAAATGATCGTTGTTGACATAGGACTGAATGATTTCTTTATCACCAGCTGACACAACAGACACATTCATCCAGAACTCTTTAACAAGGTTAGTGTGTATGGAGCCACGTAGAATGTTAAAGTAACCACTAAACTTTTGTTTGTTAACAACTTCCCTCAACCTTTTTTCTAAGCCTTCGAAATCATTGAAGTTAACATACTTTTCTTTGATAACAAACAATAAATTTTCATCCATTCTTAATAAGTTCGTAACAAGGAAACAAAGAGTTGGTAATGAGAAGTTTAAAATAGGTAAAGACTTTGAATCAATGCATTGGTAATTAGGCATTTAAATAGCTCAAAAGCCTCTTTGATAATCTAAAAGAGACGTTACGAATTTAAAATAAGATGATCATTGTTATTCTAGTAATAACCTAAAAGAGACGTTTTCCAATGCATGAGCGCCACCATGTTATTCTAATTTCCATGTTAATTATATGTTTTAATTATAAATTAAATGTTCTAATCCTTCGGTTTTCTTACAAAATCGAGGGAAACTCTAGAGTTAAAATATAACGTTAAAATTGGAACCTCTATTAAATTGTGTTTTTTATTTTTGCGTTAAAACGTTATAATACGTCGGTTTTCCTAAAAAATCCACGTAAAATTTAGCGCAAAAATTGGTACATTTAACAAATCCTTAATCAAATCCTCGTCGTCCATTTCATGACTATCAATGCTTAAGATATTACTTTTAGTGATCCACGTGAAACATAAAAAACCTCCACTATAAAAGCATACTGAATATCAAGACTTGTACCTCTCAAGCATTGGTCCTTCATGAAGAGTTTTAGGTTTGCAAGAGTGTTTTCCATGAAGAGTTCTCTATGATGGATTGCAAGAGCGAGAAATTATTTGGGTTTAAAGTTTGTGTTCTTAAATATTTATTTGAGCAAAAGATTATTTATTTATCTAACCCTTTTTTTTGTGTCTAACTCTTTTTTTGTTCATTTCAGAAACAAATGGGTTCAAAAGTAATTGAAGATCTCCTTGCATACAACATTTTATTTACCCTTTCATTATATGATTTGAAGATCTAAAATCTAGGTCTTCAATGTAACGATTGAAGATCTCCTTGCACCCAACATTTGATCTATCCTAAAATTATATGATTTGAAGATCAAAAATCTAGATCTTCGAGAAATTAATTTACCTAACCTAGTATTTGATCTTCATGAACAATTAGTTTTTTTTTTGTGTGTAAAAAAATGAAATATTCTGGATAAACAATGTAATGATTTTTATTTTTAAAAAATGACCACCCCTCAGTTTTATTTGAAATCTAAGATAAAAAAATGCTAGTTTATGTAAATAATAAAAATGCAGACGCTGAGGATCGAACCCATGCACTATTAAAATACCTCTCGGTGTTTTAAAAATCGAGGTGAAAAGTCCATACTTTTATTACGAGCTTATTTACCTCGCTTCAGTTGTCGAGGCGGCATTTTGCGCCTGACATTAGATGCGTTATTTGTAGTAGTGCTTGTAGATATCTCAAAATCTAATTAACATGTTCCTGGTGATATTTACCTGGATTCAACATAAACCTGCTAACAACTCCCACTACATGGTCAATGTGTGGCCTTGTTTAGACCATTGTTTACATCAGAACTCCAATGGTTGAAGCATATGGAATATTAGCCATGGATTCTATTTCTACACTTGTTTGAGGAGATTGATCCTTTGATACGTGACAATAAATTGTCAAAGGTATGTTAACTGGTTTGACACTAATCATGTTAAATTCTTGAAAAGCACACTTGATGTACTCTAGTTGATATGATTGCAAAACTATTATTTGCATATATTTCATAATTTGCATACCAAAGATATTTCTTGCAGGACCTAAGCCTTTTATGCTAAACTCTTTTATCAGTTGCATCTTCAAGTATCTAATATCGTCCTTATTAGAATCTACTACCAACATATTATCGACATAAAGTAACAAAATGATATAACTTGACTTACATCTCTTTAAGAAACAACAGTGGCTAGTATTGCACTTCTTGAAACCCTCCTTGTGCATGAAGCATTCAACTTCCATATACCATTATCTTGAAATTTGTTTCAGGCCATACAAGTTCTTCTTTAGTCTACACACTATATTCTCCTTTTCTTATTTTGAAAATCCTCTAGGTTGGTGCATGTATATCTCATCAACTAAGTCTCCATGAAGAAATGCAGTTTTCATGTCCAATTACTCAAGATAGAGAAAGATCTTCATTGGAAATAATACTTAACACAAACCTTATAGTATTGTGCTTCATAAATGGAGAAAAAAATTTAGTGTAGTCATTTCTTTCCTTTTGTTGGAATCCTTTTACCACTATTTGGGCTTTGA